CTGCAGCCTCTAGCATAGGCGGCCAGCCGCTCTGGCCACCAGGCCCCACCTCCTCAGAACCCCAGCTGATCAGCTAATTAGGCTGGGCTAATTGGGCCTGGGCAGCTGCAAGGAGCAGTTAGTGGCTGGCCGCACCAGTCAGCTTCCTCTTTAGCCAGCTCTGGCGTACCACAGCTGCACTCTGCCCTGGCCAGGAGGCAGTGACCTCTGGCAAAGACGGATGCCCACACCATCACTGCAGATGGAGAGTGGCCAGGCCTGGCCCTGAGAGGAGCCCTCTCGGCCCTCCTGGACAGGCAGGTTGTCAGCTCTGCTCTGCAGGAGGATCTCAGCGTGGTGCAGGTCAGCAGAGTGCTAGGATCATCAGGGCCTTGGCCAAGATGGGGGTGGCTGGAGAGGAAGATTTGGCAAGAGACAGAGAGACAAGGCTCTTGAGTGACTCAGAAATGATTTGCAGAACATCCTGAAAATCAAGAGAAGGAGGGAGAAGGGAGCCCACGTTGACAAGAGCTTCTTCACCATCTGTTTAGACTTGTGCTGTGCAACTGTCAAGGGTCAGATTCGGCCTGTCCTCTTAGAGTTCAGTGGGGTCACCCCAGTAGAGCTTAAACCTAGAAGAACCATTGAGTCACCTGGAAAGTTTACCACTCCAGCCCTCAACTGTGAAAATATTTAACTATAAGGAAAAGGTGAAACAGCAGTGTAATGAACACCAATATGACCCCCAAGTAAATTCAACAGTTGCTAACTCTTGGCTATATTAATTTCATACACACACACATTTCACTAAACTGTGTGCACACATGTGCAAACATTGTGATACATCACTTCTGAATCCTCTGTCTGCATCTCCTGAGAATAAAGTTACTTTATTATATATCCACAATATCATTGCCACACTCAAGAAAATGAGTATTACTCTAGCCGAGGTAATTTTTGAATGTAGATTCCTAGTCCCAGACCTATAAACTGGAATTTTAAGAACTAGGACCCAGTGGCCAGAAATCTCTATTTTTTTTTAAGAGAGCTTTTTTATATGGGGCACATGCACTCACCAGAGAGACAGAGAGACAGAAAGCAAGAAATCACACACACTCACACACACACACACCCCACCCCGCCGCCAGGGTGGTTGGCCACACTTCAGTTCCTTCTCCCCATTTTTCTCTTGGGATTTTGGCCATGTACACACACAAGCCCAGAGTGAGTTTTAAGCCACTGGATCTGCGACTTGAACCGGTCATGTGGGAGTCCAGAGATACAACCATTATGCCATCTGCTGGTCCCAGGAATCTCTATATTTTTCAAGTGCCTCTGGTGGTGGTAAGGTATCTAGGCCAGCACTGGTTTGGGAAGACAGGAGGACAAGACTGAGCAGGTCACAGCTGTTGTAGCAGTTGGGGGCACCAACTACGGAGAAAGTGCCTCTCTGTGCTCAGCAGAGCGACAAGCAGCCCCAGGCTGCAGGCCCCAAAGAGTTCCCAAAGGAAGAAGCAGTTCTGAGTGAAGCAGCTCAAGAGAGCAGACTCCAGAATCAGGTTACTCCAGAATCAAGGTTCTCCAGAATCCCACCACAAAGGCTTTTTTGTCCCAGAAAATAAGTCTCTTGTTAAATTTGCCCAGACAGGACTCGCCATTCCTGGGCACCTAGGGAAATCACACAAAGTCCACAGCCAGGAATCTGCCACCTGAGGTCCAGGTATTTTCCTCTCACTGCCCAGGAGAGACTGTTCAGAGCTCCCCTACCTCCCTTACCACCCAGGCTCTCAGCAAGAATAGAGACCTTTTGGGGGCAAGAAACATAACTAAGTTCTAAAGCAGCAAGCACTCCTGGATCTGAAAGCCCAGGAGCCCTGCCTTACCTTCTGACCCATGCAACCTTGGCTGCTCAAAACTAGTTCTCTGCTCCTCACCCTGGCAGATGGCACAATTAAGCTCCCTAATCCCCTTCCCTTCCCCCTGCCCTCGGTAGATGGCTAAAGCAGCCTGAGGCAGAAGAACAATATCACCTCTTCAAGTTGCCCTAACACTACACAACTCTAGGAGATGCTATTTACATACAGTAAACTATAAAGGATATCTCAGGGTTGGGCAAAACGAAGGCCCTGATTCGATTCCACTTCACAAGAGGACTCAGAGTAGGTATGGGCTCTGAAATCAAAGGGCCATTTGTGTGTGGTTCCAAGGGTACAGGAGAAAGGAAGAACCCTAAAGGTGGGTCTTACTGTCACAGCTGGAAGGAAGCTTTAAGGCCATGTGGTTCAACTCTGTCTTTACAGATTAGGAAAATGAGTCTAAAGATGAGTAGAACACAACAAATCTTAGTCCAAACTTCTAACTCACACACCCACCCACCCATCCATTTATCTATTCATTAGACAAGTGTTTATTGAGCATTTCCACATGCAACCAGGCACAGGACCTGGTAGCCTTCTTCCAGTGTCTCCAGTTAGTCTGCCTCACACTTCACATACCGTGCTGGTCCAACTGCCCCATTCTGCCTGCTGTTCTGCACCTCCATGCTTTTTCTCATGTTTCCTCCCCACCCCATTTCCACCTCTTTTTTTCACTAGGCTAACTCATTCATTCCTTAAAACTGAGATCAGGGTGTTCTTAAGTCAAGGCAGCATGAATGATGTGGTCTCTCAGCAATCCAAGGAAATACAACTTAGGGAAAAGGTGTCCTTTTTTTCTAGCCTTTTCTCTGCTTGGGGGAAATTTTATAATAATTATCATCTGAACTTGTGCAGTGGCTCCGAGGTGAATGGCAACAGCTAGAGTTCGGCAGTATATAACCTGCCCAACCACAGCAAAAGCCCTTTCTTACGGGCCAGCAAGTGGTACAGTGTTTAAGGCACTGGCTCTCACATTGCTAGTCGCAGTTCGAGTCTTGAAAGTCATGCCAGGCATGTGTGTGTGTCTGCCGAAAATACCAGGAAGGAAATGAAGAAGAAGGGATTGTAGCAAGGCCATCCTCCCGGGGGTTGATGGGGGGCGGGGGGTATGATTTCTCACTTTCCCTCTCACTGTCTCTCACTTTCCCTTCTCTCTTCCTGACAAGCTCACACACCCTATGGCAAAAGCCTTAAAAATAAATAAATAAATAAGCCCTGTCTTAAGTGTTCATTTCCTATGGTCTCAGAATATACCATTCTTATCTGCATGTTTCTGTCTCTCCCACTGGATGCTAACCTAGACCAATTCTAACCCCAGTGCCTAACAGAGAGAAATTTCATCAGTTCAACAAGCATTCATTGAATGCCTGTTAGCATTTTTCAATCAAATGCTAACTGCTTACCTGACTATGCTCTTCACTAGTCTACAGGCTCTTTGAAAATATGAACAATTACCCTTTTATTTCCAGTGTCTAAGATGCAGTAAGTGCTCAACAAATCTTGACTAACGGGCTAAACAAAAAAAATGGATGGATAGAGTAAGCTCTGAGACCGATGAACTCAGCTCCAGGTGCAGCTGTGGAAACAGGAAGCTTGCACACAGGAAACAGCAAGTATTCTAGCGCAGATTTTAGAAGTCCTTACTAAAGCTTTGCTGCTATTGGGGCTTCATTCCAGAATACCCAGATGTCAGGAGAGAAGACAGCTCAGATGTTTCCTCACTTAGATTTTCTCTCCTCTATGTGCTACTAGGTGTTCTCCCTAATGGTATTTAAATAATAATAACAGTATCTATCACATATGGTTTTAGTAGATGTCAGAACACTTTTACATGAGATTAACTCATGTGCTCTTCTAGGCAACTCTATAAGTCAGATACTTATAGTGGTAAACCCATTTATTCAGATGAAGAAACTGGGTATATAGAAATTAAATGACTTGTCACCCAAGAAACTGAGATTCTAACATGAGCAATCAGTCTCCAGCATCCACATCTAGCTTAACTGTTGCTCTGATGGCCTGATCTCCAGAGAACCTCCTTCAAACCAAGAAGTCTATAATTTAGAAACCTATCTTGTGTTCCCATTGGCTTCTATCTGCTCTGTCTTCAGAAAGCCTGCCCCAAAGCTACTGAGTTCATCTTTCTTACTTGAAAATCCTACTGAATGAGTGAGGGGGTGCTCCGTACCCTTGTCCTCTGATAATTGGTTCAGAGGAGTCTTTTCTCACTCACTGTGATTGAGCTCATCTTTCAGGATATCTCCAACTGGCATTCCGGTGTGCCGCACTGCACCATGCTAAAAGTAAAATGAGTTGACACTAGAGTGTTCTCTCTTTAATGAGTTTTCCAAGCCTAGAAATCTCCCCACAGCCAAAACAGAGTCTCTGGGACTTGTTCCCAAATTACAGAAATAGGAAATAGCACCCGCTTCATTCCTGAGTCTGTGCTGGAATTTTTTCCTTCCCACATGGTATATGAAGGAAAGAACACACTGGCATGTCAAATTGGCAATGCCATCAATACAGCTCATCAGGCAACCACAATGACAGTGGAAACTATCACCCAAATCTTTCCTCATCTTCCCTTTCATTTTGCCACTATAGTGTTCTCTAGCTAACCAGGACTAAGTTTCGTCTTTCCATGTCTTTTCAGAGGAGCCTTTTCTGAAGTTTTCCTGGTGAAGCAAAGGATGACTGGGAAGCTCTTTGCCCTGAAGTGTATTAAGAAGTCACCTGCCTTCCGAGACAGCAGTCTGGAGAATGAGATTGCTGTGTTGAAAAAGTGAGTGTGTCTTGGGGTTGGCCAGGTACGAGTGTGGGCTCACAACATTTCCTTCACAAATTACCTTCAAGAGAGACTGGGATAGAATTTCTATGCCCAGAGTCATTGCTCCTTTAGACTGAGTTGACAGGTCAGTTTGGTCAATCAGCTGAATTTAACTGGACAGCTGGTTGGACTGATTTAGGAGATGGGGGATGGATAGCAAACTGACCAGTAGGGATAAGGCTGATTTGTGCACATAGGCCAGAGAGTCATAAGCTCCAAGGAACAAAAATCAATTGAGGGCTAATATCAGAAAGAGTCGATCATTTTGGAGACAGCAGAAGATTTGGAAAATAACCTCGATGTGCAACAAAGCAAACATAAACTCAACATCTCAGTCATCATGACAGAGACTACACTAACGAATCATTAAATATTTACAATGAGACTAAGAAGAAACCCTTGTGGAACTCCTGTGGTGTACCAAAAGTGTGTTAGGCACAGGAACTCAGGATCAGGACCTTAGGTGAGGCAGGCAAAGTTCCTTGCCCTCAGAAGCTCATGTTTTCCAGGTGGAGACAGGTGCCCATGACACACTCTAATTCCATTGGACATGAGTCACACTAGCAGAAAGCAGAGTTCAGAGGCGGTAGAGATTAATTTTTTCTATGTTTTTATGAGTGTGGTTATTAGGCTCTTTTTCAAAGACAAGAGACCTGACAGACAATTAGAATGATGCGGGGGCAAGAAGGGCAGTATAGAAAGGGAATTCATGTCAAGAGTAGCATATACTTAATATAGGATCATGGGAGTGCTAGAGATTTTAGGGGAAGAGTGAGTTTCAGAAGCCCCTGAAATTAGACTGAATAGTATTAAGGGACAGGAGATGAAATTAAAATGGTGAAGTGAGTGGACCAGTAGATGGTGTAACAGTTATGTTGCTGGACTCCCACATGGCCAACCACGATTTGAGTCACAGATTCAGTGACTTCAAACTCACACCCAGCATGCAGGTGTGCACACTCGAAATCCTCAGAGGAGAGTGGAGGAGATGGAATTGCAGCCTGGCCATCCCCCCTGGGGGGTGATTCTCATATTCTGTCTCTGTCTCTCTCTATCTCTCTCTGTCTCTCCAGCAAGCAAACATGCCCTATAGCAAAAAAAAAAAAAAAAACCTCTCCCTAAAAAAATAAACAAATAAAAATGGTGAGGTGAGATATGGTTAAAAAGGATCTTAGATGCTATGAAAAGGAATGTTGGCTTTATTGTATAGGCAGAGAAAAGTCATCAAAGGGTTTTAAGTAAGGAGTCAAATGATCAAATTAATATTTTAGATTCATCCCTCCTAAGCTTGGTAGAGGATGGATTGAAGGATGCCAGCCTAGTGGATAGAAAGCCATTTTTAAGACTTTCACAATAACTTAGAATGGTCTGAGGATACAAGCAAAGAGGTGGAAGGACTGTGTAGAAACAAGGAAACTATACCCAAGAGGTATTTCAAAGAGAGAAGTGATTGGGCTTGGAGTCGATTGATAAGAATATAGAAGAGGAAAATATTACAAATCACTCTGAGATTGACCCCATTACATGTACAGTAATAGTACTGTTTGGGATCGAAAACAAAAAGGATATGTAGGCTCAGTAGAAATATAAAGAAATTGATTGGAATACATTGAATATAGATATCCACCCATCTTTACACTTAGGTATCTGCTAGGATGCTAGGGATCTAGGTTGGGGCTTAAGGGAGATAAGAGCAGAGAGATGGAAAACTCATTGAGAACAAGGACCATTGCAGTCTTTTTTTATCATTGGATTGTATCAACAATAGACCCTCAGTAAACATTTGTTCTGTGAGTGAATAGTCAGTGTCAGTATTATCAGCTTATGCATATAGTTGAATCCATCATGCAAACATTGCAACAGGTTGGTGTTCTTTAAATACCTTAAATTGGGTTGCTACTATTACTTATGCATTATTTCTCAGGCCTGGTACTAAGCATTTTTCATGCATTACCTGTTTAATCCTAATATAACCCTATGAGAGAGATATACTTCCTAGATAAGGAAAATGAGGCTTAAATTTGAGTGAGCCAATTATGAAGTTACCCAGTTAGTAAGCACCTGAGCCAGATCTGAACTTGGGCCCAACCAATTGAGGGTCTAAGTTTTTAACCACTGTGCTGTACAGCCATCAGTAAACTTTACAGAGACTTTCTTCCTCTATAAGCATGGCTGCCCAGCAAGCCAGAGCCCTCAACTAATATGATGATTCTTTTTGCCTTTGTTTCTGGCTAATCCCACATAAGGGTAATTTAGTGCAAAGTTTCTCGACCACAGCACTATTGGCATTTGGACTAACACAAAGCTTTGATGTTTTGGAGGCTATCTTATGCATTGTTGGATGTTTGGCAGAATTCCTACCTCTACCATTAGATGCCAGTTGTACCTCTTCCTACCTCAGTCTTGACAATCTAAAATGTCTCTAAGTACTACCAAGAGTTCCCTGCGAGACAAAATAGCCCCTGGTTGAAAATCACAGATCTAAGGTACTCAAAAGAACTGGCCCCCAAAATAAATATTTCTCACTAGACTGAGGAACAGTAATTTCTCAGCACTTTCCCCAGGAGTTTCAGGTACCCTCAACCTCTCCTGCTGTGGTACACTTTCTTCATGCAATGTTTTTAAAGGAAATTGACATATCCATTTTGTAGAATAACCTAGTGTTGGGTAGCCTCCCTCAGTTCTTTTAACTTTCTCTTTCAGTAAAATTTAAAGAGATTCCTGGAGTAACAATGAGAGGTTGGTTTGTTCCCTGAAGGCAAGATGATTAATTATTCACTGAGTATGGATTGAACACCACCCTAGGGATCTCTTGTCTGGGATTGCTTTGTGATTGTCTACTTATTATGAAGCCTTCATAAAGACCCAGTCTTTCTAGACATTGTCATCAGAAGTCTCCAACAGGAACTTTGGGGCTGCATCTGTATCCTCTGTCTGAACAGTCTGAACCACGTACCTTTCACCCTGACACTTACTCTTCCCCAGAATCAAGCATGAAAACATCGTGACCCTGGAGGACATCTACGAGAGCACCACTCACTACTACCTGGTCATGCAGCTGTAAGTGAAAGGTGACCCACTTCCTCTGCAGAGGTCTGGTGGAGACTGGGGGGCCTAGAGGAGATGGGCCAGTTGTGAGAGAAGATGGTCATTAAAAGACAAAATCAATAATTAGTTCAAGAGGTTGAAAATGCCAAGAGTCCTTTAGGCTCAATTTGCCTCTGGTTGTGGGCATATTCTGTGTGGGCTGAAGGGGAAAACCTAAGACTGATTATTGAACTGGTAATGCACCAAGACAATCTACCTTTGCTAAAATATTTCCTACCCATTGATAAATAGCTGCTACCCAACCCATCATGCTCCTCTACTGTCCCTCCCCTCTTCTGGAACTTTCTGAACTTCTCCACAACCCCGCAACTGAAGGGACACTCTGGGCATAGCTGGGAATTGCCAGAACCCTTCTTCAGCACCATAGCTTGAGTTCATTTTGCCCAGTCCATGCCCAACACACTGGACAGTGAATATTTCAACATCTCTTCAATTAAAACAACTATAGGAGTAGAAGTCAGAGGTAGATAGACTTCAGTTCAATATAAAGACTTTCTCAGGAAAGAGCTACCAAAAGTTTGAAATGGCATGTAGTGGGACCAGCAGTTGGCATAATGGCTATGTCACTGGACTCCCATGTAGTCAACCGTGGTTCAAGTCCTGGACCTGGTGGCTTAAACTCATACCAGGCACGTGTGTGTGAATGTCCAGTTTCCCAAGAGGAGAATGGAGGAGAAGGGATTGCGTTGGGGCCATCCCCCTGGGGGTTGATTTCTCGCTTTCTGTCTCTCTCTCTCTCTCTGTCTTTCTGGTGAGCACACACACCTTATAGTAAAAACCTTTCCCCCCCCAAAAAAAATGGCATGTAGTTGTGGGTGCCCATCTGTGGGACAGAAAGTGTACTTTAATAGAAAAATCTCTGTCATTGTCATATCCAGTATGGTTCTGCTGGATAGAGACTACCGTAGAAGTCAGCTGGTGTTCCTAAGGATTCAAGGACACTCCTGTGTGTAAACTACACACACATCCCCTACATATACACACACGCTTTTACCCACACATACCACTCTATGATATCAGCGTGCCTGGATGGAATGTAGTTTTTGACTAAGGGGCTGATTCCTCAGAAACTTTAATGCACAAACTCAGGCTTAAGCAGATGATTCACTCCTGGGCTCCCCCAAGGCCCACTAAAGAGAGGTAGCCAGCAGTCAAGGTAATGAGATGGGGAAGGCCCAGAGGGGCCCCCACCCAGAGCAGGGACCAGGTGGCCTCATTAGGAGAACAGGATCTATATGCACAGGATCTGCATATAGTCATTAAGCAGGCTAAGAGGAGCCAGGGAAGTAGCCAGTTTAGATATCATTGCAGAGCCACCAAGTCCCATAAGAGTACCAACTGTAGGACCCACACTGCTCAGAGTCAGGAGTTCATAGTTGTGTACAAAGGGCACCTTTCTGGTGGGCTTCTGGCTTTTCTGGCAGGGCCCAGAGCCTAAAGACAGAAACGAAAGCAGCAAGGTAATGTGAATTTTGATTGGAGAAATTCTATTCCCTCATCACTACATGGTGTTGTCAGATGTGCACAGTTGTGTCAAACATCATGGAACAATGGGAACAGGGTCAGGATGGCGAGAGGACTGAAAATCCTGACTCGAGGTTGGAATAGCCTGGGGATGCTTAGCCTGGAGAAGAGAGGGCCTTAGGAGAGCATTTCACTGTCTTTCCCACTTGAAAAGATTCATGTGAGAGGATGTTGTTCTTGCTCCATTTGGTCTCGATGGTAGAACCAGTATCTGCTGTAGAAATTATAAGGTATCAGAGGTCAACACAATATATAAAAATATTAAGAAAATGCCAGAAGACAAAACAATCTTTCTTAGGTGGTACTGAGTTCTCTGACACTTAGGTGTGCCAATGCTGACTAGAAAACTTCTAGGTAAAAATAAGATAGATGATATTTAAGAGATAAAGGGCAGACTTGATCTGTAGGCTCCCTTGAGTCCTGTGATACTATATCATTCAAATCCTAAAATGCCCCTGCAATCCTACTCCTAATCCCAGTTTTAGGTAGCCTAATTTTCCAAATGAAAAAAGAAATCCCGAGATGAACATAGTTAGGTACATTTTCACACCTTTTTTTTTTCTGCTTTGTCCAATTGCAGCATTACCTTTGTCTTTTATCATGGTTTCCCGTGTCTTAGGCCACCAAAAAAGATTATTACGAAATGTGTCCACACTAAGGGATTATTAACTTCCTGCAAAACTTCGACCAGTGCATTGCATTTTGAAAGTTATTTCCAGAGAGAGGTCAATGTTGTCCTTAGGAAAAGACTCTCTAGTTATGTTGTTCTAGATCCTGTGAGGAGGTGCTCTGAGGTTGGAGAAGCCCTCTCTCCTTCCCTCAAATGATGGGTACCTGTCCAATTCACTATAGATGTGTCCCTCATAACTATAGAGTAAACATTTTCATTCTTTTGACCTGAAATAAGAACTGGATTTCTATTCTTGTCCCTGTGCCCACAGTGTTTCTGGTGGGGAGCTCTTTGACCGGATCCTGGAGCGGGGTGTCTACACAGAGAAGGATGCCAGTCTGGTGATCCAGCAGGTCTTGTCAGCAGTGAAATACCTCCATGAGAATGGCATCGTCCACAGAGACTTGAAGGTGCCAAGGCAGACTCTTTGGTGGGAAACAATGCAATAGCCCTGTGAAAGCTGCATGGGTCATGAAAAGTCTAAACTTTTTAAAGTGTGAGGGTTGCCCTAGTGATTATGAGGCCCCTTCTTTTTTTTTTTTTTTTTTTTTGGAGAGGTTTTTGCTATAGGGCGCGTGCGTTCGCCAGACAAAGACAGACAGAGAGACACACAGACAGAAAGCAGGAAATCACCCCCCAGGGGGGATGGCCACGCTGCAATCCCTTCTCCTCTGTTCTCCTCTCGGGATCTTGGGCATGCACACACACATGCCTGGTGTGAGTTTAAGCCACCAGGTTCAGGACTCGAACTGCAGTCAACTATGTGGGAGTCCAACGACATAGCCATTATGCTAACTGCTGGTCCCTATCAGGCCCCTTCTGCCTTCATATTTCATAAACAAATCTTGGATGTTGGAACAATCATTATTAATTTGCCCCTCAGTCTTTTCCTCAACTTTTTGCTATACCTCACCCTATTAGGATATCAAAATAATCCACACATTTCCTAAACCCAACCACAGGCAAAATCAAGTCCAGTGAAATACTTAATAAGAGTCTACATTGCTCTAAGGATTATACCAACTTTGGAGAGATCAGAGACAATCAACTAAGGGTTGATACCCGAAACAAAACAAAACAAACAACAGTTCTAGGGTGTTGGGGGTAAAGGGATAAAGAGGTTAGTACATAAATGGCTACAAGTCTGCATAGTTGGGGCCATAAGCAGAGCAGAGGAGATCAGGAGTGAGGATAAAGAAATAGGTAGGAGGAAGAAAGAAAGCATCTGGGAAGATGAGCTTGGCCTTGAGGTCAGGAATCCAGAGCTCAGCTTCTTAAGAAATTACATATCAAGGGGAAGGAAAGAGAGAAGTGTTTCTGGTGATTATATCTTACACTACATGTTTTTCTTCTCTCCCAGCCTGAAAACCTGCTGTACCTCACGCCTGAAGAGAATTCTAAGATCATGATCACAGACTTTGGTCTATCCAAAATGGAACAAAGTGGTGTCATGTCTACTGCTTGTGGGACCCCAGGTTATGTGGGTGAGTCTGCAAGCAGGAGGTTGACCAGTTGGCCAGGTTCAGCCATATGAATGCTATTCATAGAGAGGCATAATTATAAGCAGATGGGGCTCAACACTAGGGGCTAGCCATAGAGCATGCCGTGGGAGGCCAACCAATTCATCTATCTCTGGAACGACCCCTACTGTTCCCAAAACCTACAACTCCTGAGCCCTTCCAACAAGCCCTGCCTAGACTTTGGCTCTTGATCTTACAAAGAGATGTCCTGCCTTTGTCTTTCCGATTGGACCAGGTAAACTCCTATAATGAGCTGAGGGGTTGAGCACTAGCCCTCTCTACCTTCTCCCACTCTGGAGGAGACCCCAGTTCCCCAGATGCTGGGATCTTAGAAGCATAGGATATGTCATTTGGGCCTCAGGAACCCAGATATGAGTCCCTAAATGTATACCAAAGAAGCACTCTGGGGAACTAGCAGATGCAGGGCCTACTAATATGAATAGCCCTCTATAGGGTTCCAGAGTCCCAAGAAAGGTAAAAAGAGCAGGCAACTTACCTATTGAGAGTATTCCTAAAATTCACATGGAAGAAAGCTGAAACTCAGAACATACATGCCTGCCGCTTTCCTCTAAATCAATCATTACATGTTTCAGGTTAGGGATTGGGAAACAGAGCTCTGATTCAAGTGAAGGAATCTATTCTCTCCCAAAATGGGGGTGGGGGGGGGTGGGGGGCATGTCACTCACCAGTAGGTTTTTTTGTCCCACTGGGTAGATAGACCTGGTATCTGGGATGAATACAGAAGGCAACTCTGTACTGTTCCAGGGCTCCCAATCAGGAAGACATGGGTCATGCCCTCATAATGCACTCATCTGATGGGGCCTGCCCTTGGGAAGTACCCAGGGTCTGATGGGAGAGTTACTCCTGCTCTCTGAGAACTCCTAACCTAATAGGGAAGGCTCAGACTGTGCCTTTTGGGAGCTCCCAGTCTAGTCAGAGAGGCAGTCTTTATTGTGGAAGGCTCCTCAGTCTGAAGAAAAAGGCGTAGCCCATGTCCCAGGGATGCTCTATCTTAAAGAAATGCAAGCCCTGCCTTCTGAGCATGCTCAGTATGATGGGGGTGACCTGGCCCTGGAAATCCCCAGTCTGAGAGGGACACTGTAAACCCTGTCATGGGGCACTCCTGGTCTGATGAAGAAGTCACACTCTCACAGGTAAAGTTAATCTTCCTGGCAGAGTCAGCCCCTGCCCTTGGGGCATCTTCAGTCTCAGGGAAGCACCACCATCCATGGGCTTTCCAAGCCCCCCTCTCTATACCTCTTCCTGACCTTCAGCCTCTACCCTATAGACTCTTTTCTTACCCCAGCCTGACCCTGCCTCTGGTTTGCTGCAGCTCCGGAAGTGCTGGCCCAGAAACCCTACAGCAAGGCTGTGGATTGCTGGTCCATTGGCGTCATCACCTACATACTGTGAGTAAAGCTGGTGCTAGCCCCTCAGACCCTGAGCCACCTTGGAGGCAGCTCCCCTCTCCCTTTCCTTTCCCCGTCTTAGCTCCTCCTCCAAAGCATGTGCATGTGCACATGCATACTTACTAATGCATGCAGCCCTAAAGTTCCTCTATCCTGATCACCTCCAAGTTGTAAAAACAGCATGAGCCTCCCATTCAGCCACCCTCCCTCTACACTCCTCCCACTTACTATGCTGAACCCTACTCTGGAATGAGCCATGAAAAAGAGAGGTCAAGGCAGGCTTGGAAGCTAGGGGGACCCAATAGTCCTGCTTCTCAGCTTTCTCTCCTGATATCAGCCCAATGCTATGGCCTAAATGAAGTGAACCAGTCCTCTCCTTTCCACACATCTCAGCTCCTCCCTTTCCTAACCGGCTCATCTCTTCTTCCCTGCATCCCTCTTTACCTACAGCAAACTTGGCTCTTTGAAAAATAACCTGCTATTAGACATTTAACCCTAGTGTAGATTCAGTTCTCTATTTTCTCAGTCTGTGTTGAAAAATTACGCTCACTCATTCATTTACTCAGCAAATATTCATTGCTTCACACCAGTCCCTGAGCTAAGTGATAAAAAACAGAGCAGTGAACAAAACGGTCTAAATCCTCAGGGCACTTACATTCAAGTGAACATCCTACCATCCTTCTTAAAGATCCTTTACCCAGCATCCTAGAGTTAGGGGAAGTATAGGGAGAGCTGGTGAGGGTTTGGGGAGAGTAAAGTGCCAAGGGGTCTGCTCCAAGCCTTAGTTCCTGTGCAACACTTTACGGGGCCCATGCCCTTCCTGAATCAGAGGTTGATCCATGCCCAGGTCATGCCATGGGTCTGAGACTTGGAAGGTAAGGTGGTAAAGACAGGCTTGCCTGAAGCAGGTGGAGTTCTTCAGCAGGGAGCCTCCTTTCTGTGCCCCTGCAGGCTGTCGGGATA